TCTCGTTGCTTGATTTCCTGAATTTTCTGTTGCTATAAGAATCTGCATTTTAGCATGTTTGTATAATTTAAAAGCAAACAGAAACCAATTTAGCAAGTAGTTTGAGGTATATATGATTCTCGAAGATGAATTAGATGATTGTACAGAGCGGCCACTCCTTGCAATCGAAGTGCGAAGTGCGGAAGTGGAAACATGTAATATGAGACTTTTCCATCTCCCCTTCGGCTATCAATTTTCTATGTGTGACGTCATCAGCCCCGACCGGTGTCTTTGCTTCCCAAGAGCAAAGAGCCTGGGAACGAGGTTGCTACACTTTAAACTTATAGCATATAGGCGCATATATACGAAACAGGAATAATTTAGAAAACGAAGTAAATTCGAGAATATTGGGGAAAACCGCTTATGTAAGCGAAAATTGCACAGTGATGGCTCCAGCAATTCCACGACGAGGGCGCACTAAGGTTTCTTTTAATTACTAATACAACATTAATTTGTTCTGTCTGTTGAGCCTTATAGGGATACGGCAATAAAAACTAACTTTGTCTTATTTGAAAGAACTTTTAAAGTTATATATATGTGAAGACCGTTTACAACTTTTTCGTACCTTGCTTGGTTTTGGAAATATTTTGACCAAAAACAGTATCCAGTCCGCCATCTTGGTATTATAATTGACCTAATTAACTGAGTTTTCGATGATGTCAGAAGCTGGGTAAACTTGTTAAAACTTCTTCATGTAGGACTAAATTTCTTCAAAAAGTTTCTTAAAATGTTGTGAGTTAACTGAGTACTAAAAAGACAATATGAAACTCGGAAAATCGAGTTTCATATTGACAACGACATGTGGTTTGCAAGATAAAAACACCCTACTTGTGACGTATGCATATCGAATGCATATCCAAGAGGGCGGAATGCACGCTGCTTCAAAATAAGTCGATTTATTTCGAAAACTAAGCAACATACGGAATAATTGCAAGGGAAGTTTATATATCATTTTAAATGTTCTTTTAGACAAACTATAATAATTTATATTGCCATGTCCCTTGTCCATGTTCCTTGTCCTTGTCCATGTTTGTTGAGATTTATTCGCGCAGCACAATTAACGCATTTATAACGAGTATTTTTTATCAACAAATACTTCAATATTTGTCAAAACCTAATCAAAAAGCGATTAGGTGGCTATAACATAATATTTATATTAATAATATTCTAATTCTAATATTAATATTCTAATTTCGTAATTTAAAAGCGTTTAGTATAATCTTAAAAAATATGAAACAATTAATATTTTATCAGTATTTTACAAGTTTGAATAGACAAGACTAAATTACTTCAGCATGTCCTGATTGGCGACAGATGTGGGTAGCGTGTGCACTTTTTTGTTGCCAATTTTCGTTACAAACTAAAAGAAATCCTTAATTCTCGTTATATTTTTTGGCAGTCATGATCTTCAAGTTCATTAAAAGCATACTATTCTGGACGGTGTTGCTATGCAACATCTCTGTAGTCCTTGGTGAAGCTTTTAGGGGAGAACGAAATCCACAGGAACAGCATTTTTTTCGAATCAAACAAGGTGCTTAGAAAATATTTATAATTTAAAAAATGAGAGTCTTACTGTGGAACTTAAAGTTAAATAGACCTACTTAAACTTTGCGTTAGCATGCATTTGGAAGTTCTGATCCGAGAATAGCCTGAAATAGGGCTAGCCGCATATTTCTCAGACTAATCCGAAACCTAAACCACTTGAAAGTTACATTATTAAGTAAACCTGACACGTTCCGCCCAAATTTAATTTATAGATTGACTAGATTGTTTGCCCTCAGTGTGGCGTAGGATTACTAAATATTTGCTCCAAATAAAGTCAATATTGCTAAATTCCCTGCAGCTGAGTATTTTTTACTCAGAATTTGAGTAAAATGATGCATTAACAGTGCCTTAAAATTTTTAGTAAAATTACTCAAATATATGAACAAATTTACTAAATTATTTCGTAAAGATTTACTTTTAAAGTTACTTAAAAATTGAGTATAATTTCCTTATAAAAATGAGTAGTTTTACTCAATATTTTGATTTGCTGCAATTGGAATATTACTTCACCAGGTTTTTGAAATTTTGAAAGAAAAAACACAGAGATTTATTTCCGTGAAATGCCGCTGTAATTTTGCTCAAAAACATTTTCTGGATGTCCCAACAAAGTATCAATCCAAACTGGTCTCAGTGTTTGGTCAGCTGTGGCATTCATAAATCAGCAAGCAACTGGGCGTCATATGAACATGACCAGTTATAATTAATCGATACAAGATCGCGTGTTGTTTCTTTTTAATTTCATCATCACTGTATGAAATTAACTTTTTCAGGTGTTCGATCTCATTGGAAAGCGTACATCATCTTAAGAGCGAAGACAGAATTGGGTTGCGTCTTGATTTGCCACAGAGAAAAATTGACGTGCACATCTCTCAATTATGCTGAACCTACTTCGCAATCATGGCAACGAGATTTGTCAGTTACACAATGAAACTATGGATCTTTTCAGCAAACCATGCGGCTTGGTATCATGTCAACAGCATTGATTTAGGGGGAGAAGCGAATACTAAGTATCACAAGATTGTAGGTGGCTTGCGCCATCGAAGCTCGATGCAGCCACTGCCTGCATGGAGGTGCATTTTGACGGTGCTATGCGGCAATACAGTACAAAAGTAGTAAAGCCCCCCACTCTGGAGTACAAAGGGATGCCGCCAATGACGTCACATTGCTCCGAAAGTAATTAGTATGGAAAATATGTGACGTAACTTTGCTGGCCCTAACCCTAACCCTGGGCCAGGTAGCGCGACCAATTAACGCGGGCAGGCCTGGGCCAACTGTGACAGGTAGCGCGACCAATTAACACGGGCAGGCCTGGCCCAACTGGGCCAGGTAGCGCGACCAATTAACGCGGGCAGGCCTGGGCCAACTGCGATCAATTAGCATTACAATACAGTAACATCACTATAAATACAGCTAGTGTCCTTTCACCTGCATAGTCTGTATTCAACGCTCTTTTTCAGTCGAGATGGAACAAGCAAAGTGGGAAGAGGTTGTTTCTTCGTGGATGAGTGGTAAATCGTTTGAATTGAGAACAGAATGTGAGAAAGGGGTTGGTTTACCTATTGAAAAGGCGAAATGGCAAATTACAGATTTGGAAAACATTTTGATTGAAAAGGGTTTGGTACCGAAATTTGTTCGTGGGGACGATGCCCTGTATGATATATTGTTGCGTCAAATGCAATCACAATTGATTCTGAGTGTTGGTGTTCCTAAACGAGTGCAGGGTCCTACCTTTACATATTTGTCGAACTGTAAGCAGATGCTTGTGGGTGAGATATTTGCAGATATGACAAAAAGGAAGGAAAAATTCGAGAAGAAAACAGGTGTTAGCTTGGACAACTATTACAGATTGGCTGCTAGCGAAGTCGAGAATGGGAAGAAAAGAAAAAGAATGTCTGAGTCGAATGGAAGCAACAAGGCCCTCGGGTGGCCAACACTGGCATCGTGCTCTTCAGTAATCCACTACAATACCAGTACATGATTGAAGAAACAGGAGAGACATTTAATAGTTCTAAATCTAACACTAGGGAGGCCTATGATGAATTTCGTAAATTTGGTTTAACAAGTGAACTTGATAAAATAGACCTCTTGTAATAATAATACGTTGCTAGTTCGGAAAGGGGTTTGCATGCACGGGTGGCTTAACAAGACATCGAAGAGTACATATTCCTACTAGGGGAGAGCCTTACGAATGTGATATTTGCAAAGGATGTTATACGAGCAGGGAAGGATTAGTGAAACATAAAAACACGCAGCACTTGTTGGCGTAAAGACGTTTTTGAAACACTTTATTTTACGTTTTATGCATGAGACACTTTCATGAGTTTACATATTAATGATATTATATTTTAAAGCTGTAAAAAAATTTTTAACAGAAATGTTTTGTAAAACTACTGATGTTTTGTGTAGCCTGAGCCAGATGTTAGGGATAGCGCGACTAGATACACATGTATTTTAATTGGGGTTTTTTTTCGCATGACTAAAACATGCTCTTGCGATAGCTCAGTTGGTAGAGCGGAGGACTGTAGTTCCTTAGGTCGTTGGTTCAAGCCCAACTCGCAAGATTTAAAAACAGGCGTTCTTTTTCGCGGAAAAATGTATATGTATTTCGGAGCCTAATTCAAAATAACCGGAAACTTTGAAAGCTTAGAGCATAGTCCAAATAGCTTGGAGCCTCCTGGTTCGCGGAGCCGGTCCGTTCGAAGCATAGTCTTTAGTTGAAAACGTTTAGTTCATGTTACACGGTAAAGTTACTGCCTCTTCGACTATGAAAAATGGTACATTTTGATTCTGTGGGGGAAAAACTTTTAGAACAGTTGTAATATATTATCGAACATGTATTTGCTATATACGTTGTTATATGTTGCTAAGTCATTAGCGACGCTTGGGGTATACATATATTAACGTACAACATATTTGTACACCAATCAGGAGGGCGGATCGCGCGGGCGGAAGAGCGGGCTTTGCAGGCAGGTATTTGTACAAAATGTCAGTTTTAAAACAAATTTATTTCTTTAAAATGTTTTACAAAATTTAGTAAAGCCAACTTCTAAGAGCGTAACGTTTAGGTGTTTTTGTTATTTTTAAAGAGTTCTCATATCCCTGCTTACCTTCAGGTGATAACTTTGCATGCTTTCTTGTGATCGGGAAAAATGTTATGTAACTCGGAGCCCGGCTCGGCGACGAGTCTTAATGAGAATGTAATTTTAATATAAATAGCTTCATAGTAGTAATACCCCCTATCTGGAGTTCAAAGGGATGCCGCCAATGACGTCACGCTGCTCCGAAAGTAATTAGTATGCAAAATATGTGACGTAACTTTGCTGGCCCTAACCCTAACCCTGGGTCAGGTAGCGCGACCAATTAACGCGGGCAGGCCTGGGCCAGACGCGATCAATTAGCATTACAGTAACGAGACCAATTAGCGGCACAACATAGTAGCGCGACCAAACAAATTATCAGAGATTATAAATATCGTGTATCAAACACACGTTTCATTTCTCACTGTTGCATTTGGCAAGTGGTCTCTGGTTTTCTCTGGTTCTGAAGTGTTCTCTGCTTTTGGATTGCGTTGGATTGTTTTTTAAAATGGCTCATTTGGTAAGGAAACGTAGCGTTTTGAATATATGTTTACGATAGTTTCAGATCAAAGACTGCATTTAGTTTTTGAATATATGTTTACAATAGTTTTAGATTAATATGTTTATGATATTTCTAGATTAATATGTTGGATCTTATCAAAGCTTGTGAAGCTGAAAGTGAACTCGACTTTCTCCAAGAGTCGTTTGTGCTTACTGATGAGCAGAAGGAAGCTGTTCTTCAACAGCGCATTATATTTTGGACGAACGCGATGGCCGAAGATATTGAACGGGAGAATCCGGTTGGAGTTGACCATGATATGATGGCAAACTGGACCGAGGATCAACGTCGCCTGTTCAACGAAGATTGGGCCAATGATGATGGTTTATGCGAGTTCGAACAGTTGCCAGAAAACCAAGTAGGTGAAAGCAGCAAGCGAAAGCACACCAGTGATGACGCCCCCTCAAAGCGCCAAAGACCAGAGGAGTATTTCACTATTAAATCAGCCAAGCAAGTCAACGTGAGGAAATTCAGGACGACAGATACACAAACTGTTTTCATATTTTTAAGCGTTACATCGGCTACGTATGGGATATAGATTGTTATGTGCAAGTAAGGTTTCGTTTTTATTAGGCTCTGTTTACACTATACCGGATTGCTACCGGAGTGGGTCAAATTTTATAGGTATCGAAAGGTTGTGAAAGTTTTTAATCTCAGAGACTCGAAAAAACATGTCAATTCTGTCAAACTACTAAGCATTTGCTACTAACCATTGCTCCGTAACGGCAAAAGACGTCGTCGTAACCAGCGAATCCGATATAGTGTAAACAGGAACTTATAAGAGTTATGTTTATTGCTTGTGTATACCACTGGCTGTACAAACCTATCCAACGCATAAGCTTTTTATAAATGGCCATAACTCTCAAATAAAGCTTTAGTATTTACAGGGCTTATGATTTGAATTGTAGCTAAAGTATAGCACTATCCGATAAATAGCCTTGTTTGTACAATCCACGACCCCCGTTTTTAGGTGGATTATTCTATATTACTGGGTAATCTCTATGATGATTACTGTATGTCCAGCGAGGGATAGCTTTAAAGTTTGTTCGTTCACTGCAATCAGATATATAAATCATGTTATCCGTTGGTTGTCCGTTAATCTCTCACTGTGGACACACGTTGCAGAATAAGACGCAGGCCAGGCCAAACGTGTTTATATTTCCACAAGCCTATGCTTAGGCCACCACTTGTAGTGAACCCAGATTTCCAGGCATAGGTCAGGCCCCAAGGCCAGCCAGGACTAGGCCAAAGTCTGTTTACACTGAGCGCTTTCCATTAACAGGGCCAAACCGGTCAGAACGGTCAAATTGTTGTATGAAACAAAAAACCTTTGGGCTTTGGACTTATCTGAACGGAAAATTTAGATAATATTACAATGAGGTCCATTTTCGCTAGATATTTGAGAAACATACACCAGATCTTTCCCTTGATACAGATAAAAACAATTTGGGTCTGACCGGTCAGGCCATTGAATGGAAAGCGCCCACTGTCAAAATGTAGGCCAAGGTTAATGCAAGGCTTGTAAACGCGACTCATAAAATGTTGGGTGTTTAAGGCTACTTGTTACCAACCATAGTCTTCTGATTGCTATTGGTTAGTACAATAGTGTATTACGGTTTTTAGGTACAGACTATACTGTTCAATTCAATCCGTTGGACGTGTACGGGGTGTCGAACGTCATGTCGACGTTGAACCGCGCATTTCAACACTTATTTGACCGACTCACAAGTGACATGGCTCCTCACGATCAAGTTCGCTTGATCCTCAACTCGAATCAGCTGGACAAATCCATTTCCTTACCTTTCCTGCAACGAGATCGTCTAACCCCAGAACGTTTCCTGGCAGCTGTCGAACGCGTCGTGCAGTCCAATGACCAATTTACTTTGGATGACTCTGTCAGCGTCAACGTAGTCCATGTCGAAATGCCCAACGGTGGTACTGGGCGTAAGCGTGATGTTGTAAACCTCGAAAGTTTTCTCAGAAAAAAAAGACTGCATCGTTCAAATTAAGAACAAGGATGATCTCTGTTGTGCCCGCGCGATTGTGGTGGCCAAAGCAAAGCTGGACAAAGATCCGCAGTACAAGAGTATCGTTAGTCGCACTGGTACTCTGCAAACTCACTTAGCTCATCAACTCCACGGGTCAGCGGGTGTTCCTCATGGTTCCTGTGGCATCCCGGAAGTCAAGAAGTTCCAAACTGCTCTTTCTGGTTATCAGCTCAACGTGGTCTCTAAAGAACATTTAAACGCCATGATTTATTCTGGCCCTGAAGCAGACAAACACTTATATTTATACCATCATGACAACCATTACGATGTCATCACCAGTATGCCTGCCTTCCTCGCCCGTAAAAAGTATTGCCATAAATGCAAGAAAGGCTACGACAAGATTACTGACCATCCCTGTGGCGATCTGTGCAAGTTATGTAATACCCAAAACTGGCCCATCGTTGAATGGAAATTTTGCAAAGACTGTAACCGTTTCTTTAAAAGTGACGAATGTTTCAACCGCCATAAAGATGACGCTGGTCCTGCTAAATCCCTGTGCTGTGCTCTAATTAAATGCAAAAAATGCAAACGTGTTGTTACTCGTGCCAGTCTTCGTGATCATCATTGTGGCAAAGTGAGATGTTCCACCTGTCAAAAATACGTCAAACCTGAAAACCACCAGTGTTATCTTCAACCTGTAAAGGCGAAGAAGACACGAACAGCTGAAGAAGGAAACGATTTGCTCGATGATGATGTGGCCGTGGAAAACGACGTAGAAGACACCAAAAACTTAATGTTCTTTGACTTCGAATGCACGCAAGACGATGGCAAACACGTCCCCAATCTCTGCGTAGTCCAGAACGAAAGCGGTGACGAGAAAGTCTTTACTGGACCAAACACGAAAGACGAGTTTTGGGAGTGGATGTTTCAACAGGAAAACGCGAATACGACGTTTGTGGCGCATAATTTCCAGGCTTACGACGGGTACTTCATCCTTCAATACCTTTACAAGAATGGTATCACTCCAGAAATCATTACCCGTGGCGCAAAAATCCTTTCCCTCACTGTCCCCGAAATGAACATCAAGTTTATTGATTCTCTTTGTTTCATCCCAATCAAACTCGCCGCCTTCCCGAAAACGTTTGGTCTCACAGAGCTTCAGAAAGGTTACTTCCCTCATTTCTTTAACCGTGCTGAGAACCAAGACTACGTGGGACCTCTTCCAGACTCGAAGTTCTACGATCCTGATGGCATGAGCAGCGATGACCGCGAAAAGTTTTATTCATGGTACAACGAGCAAGTCCGGCGTCAGTACGAGTTCGACTTTCAAGCCGAAATTCTTCGATATTGTCAA